CGCGTCGCGACGCGGCAAATTTAAATTATAATTTTTCCTTAACAAACCTCTACTAACTAGTAGTAGCGGCGAGTAAGGGTCGATCCCACAAGGAGTAGGAATTAAATTGTGACAATCTCGTATTAATTGAATTAAACTACGAAAGCAATAAAGGGGGGATTGGTTTTAATAGAAAATAAAAATAAAAATAATAAAATAAACTAAAAATCAATTAAAATAAGAGAAGTCCAGTTTTCGGTTCAGTTATCACCCAATCTAAATCTACCGTTAATCAATTTCGACGCTTTCTTTAAATTGCTAATGAATTACCAACCCTAGCTAACAATAAGCTCTGTTAACCGAATTTTTCCTTACATATTATTTAATCGAAATAAGCTCTTCGACTAAACCTAATTAGTGGACAACCTAGAATAAGCTCTCTAGATTTAATACACTAGCAGCATTAATTACGAGGAAAATAGATCAGTCTAAGCAATGGACGCAAAAGCTCGGACCATTTAACTTATGTTCACGCTACCCTAGAGATGCACGACCCCTAGTTTACTACTAACGAAACGAGACAATAACAATTACGGACTAAAGTCCCGAATCTAGCAATTAAACTATGAATATTTAACGTAGTTGGCCAGACTAAATCAAACACCATAATTCATAAACATTATACACAGATAACATGAATCAACTCATCAACAAAAATAAATACGGCGTCTCGATTAATCAACAATAAACAAAGATCATCCAATCCATAGACAAATCAAAGTTAGGGTTCAAACATCCCCTAAAACTGGATAAAAATACTAAACTAACATACTAATAAAAATAAATAAAAGATAAAAGAGAGAATAGAATTATCCTCTCGTGTGCGGGTGCGGCTTCCCTTCGCGTGTTTCTTCCTCTTCGTCCGTACGTGAATGGCTCTGGTTTTTTTGTTTTCTGTGCGTGCTCCCTTTCTTTTTCTGTCTCTCTTTGGTAAATAAATGCGAAAAGACTCCTAAACAATTAAACAAGTTCCAGCCAATATGTGACTCAGGCACTAAAAATTCCACCAGCCAATCAAATTATGCCTCCCATTGGAAATAAAACTCCTCCCAATATATGTATGTGGCATGCGTCCTTTTACTACAATTAATGGGTCAATGGAGAGTCCTCAAAATCCCAACTGATGGTGGCTGCCAATTTATCTCTGCATCTCAAATGTCCATTATGAATTTAATTGATTGGACTTTATTTCTTAAACTTCTTCTAAATATGGGCTTGGCCGTAAATGGCCCGATAATGGTTCACGAGAATTCTCATCCAATGTTTCGCCTCAACAAAACATTCCAACCAGCTGAAAATAAATAAAAAAATAATCATAGCAAATGAATTCATCAAAATAATAAATAAGTTGAAAAATATAAACGTGCAAATAAATTAAGTATATAAAAATACACTATTAAACATATAAAACGTGCACATTTTCCGACCTATCAAATCTCCCCAAATTTAAACTGTTGTTTGTCCCCAAGCAACTTTGAACTAGAGCATATACATGTATATATACAAGTACGTGGAATATTACTCAGAGCCTCACACATCTCACATAGTGCATAGCTACAACTTCTCAAATTAACAACCCCGGACTCGAAATGAAATCATCTTTGGAACGCCAACAGTCAAATATCAATTCAGTGAATCATCGCAGTTCGCCAATCTCTACACCGAGTATACCAATCATGCAACTAATGATACCCCTTTCTTTGCCAACCGGTTTGGATCCTATTCGCTTCTAGCCAGAAATCAAAAGTCTCATTTCTTTTTTTTCATTTTTTTTTGACTGGCAATTGTTGCAGCCCACAATCATTTTTCTTTTTTTTTTTCTTTTTTTTTCAACATCCATTATTATTTTCCTCCACATTCATTATTCACACTACCATTTTTTTTCTTTGAGACAATCAACTCCCAACTTTCCACGTCAAGTCACCTCACACAATCGACATCAAGCAGAATAATCACTAGCACATTTCAAAAATATAAACAGCTCGAGATCAACTCTCCACAAATAAAACACATAAATATCAATCGTAAAAGTCTTTGTCCCTCAAATAACAACATTTCAAGAATTTAACCAGAAATCATTAACTAAGTCATTATAACTAGCATAATAAATCCAACTCGACACTCACATCATCATCGCAAAATTCCACATACAAGTAACATATACTCCAACAAATCAAGATAATATATAATATATAACACAACTCAACAACTCAATCATAAATATATCTCGCTCTAATAGGCCTCCCCAAACTTAGAGTTTGCACAAATAAAAGAGCACAAAATTAATTAATTTAAGCTCATTTGTTCTACGTTATTAGCTCATTTGTTCTACGTTTTATTTCATTCTTGCAACGATATTTTTAATAATAATTAATTTATTTTACTAAACTTAATTGGGAAAAAACATTCGCCACCACGTGCATCGCACGTGCACTTTACTAGTATGCATAGAAAATCTAAAGAGTACAATTTGGTGCGATACGATTATTTTAGTGTAGAAATATTTAGGTTCTTTTTCTTGTGGCATTGTTCGATTTTAAAATTTCATTATTTCAATTTTATAATCTATTTGGTGCGATTTTTCAATCAACAGTATTGATGTAGGGAAGCGTATAAGTGGGGAAAGATAAACGAGATACTCTCTCGATAAAACTCACACTCAATTAATTTTTTCATCCAATAATCAACCACTGAATAACAAAGAAGAGGGGTCTTTAAATAAGACACCCAAAACCCTAAAAACTATCTTGTCCACCAAGTCACTAATATTTAAATACTAAAATAATAATAATAAACTACCCACATCATTCTCCCCCGGTTGAGCAGAATTCGCCCTCGAATCCGACCCGTTCTCGTTGGAGACATCCCGATGACAAGAATAGCCTGGCGTTTCCCCCTGTCGAACACGAAAGTTGAACGATGTTGTAATCTACGTTAGCTAGCCACAAAATACTCGGTTGCTCGAATGACACTTCTCCTCTCCTTATCTTGAGTTACTCGGCCGACCCAAACAAATACTTCTAAAGCCTTTGCCCCTTTCTGGATATTGGAGTTTGCACCATTGAACTGCTTCAATATATATAACCGCATATAAAACTCTTTTGCTTCAAATTTCTTAAATCCAGATGCAACACCACCTTCAAGGGGTATGAAACATGGATTACAATATGTCAAACATTTGTTAGACTCGTGCCCGTGTAATTCTCTATACTGCCCAACACAATCACCAAGAATCGCATCAAGTGCAATGGTTTTGATAGCAATAGTTTCAACTTCATCCTCCGGCCCCGGAGGCTCCTCATCGAAAATCAGTGGACCATCGTACAATGGCCCGTCATCTTGCTCACTATCGAATTCGGGGATGTCAATGTGAAACGGGCCTCTCATTGACCATATTCGCGATAAAGTCCCCAATCGTGTCGGGCATGATGTCTGCCGGCAAAGGAAGCCTCCTCGCGTTGATCGTCGGCGTCCACGAAGACCGGGCCCCGTCGCCGCATGTCACGACCGCCGTATGCAGCAAAGGGGTCAGCCTCGACGTACGGGGGTGGATGACCGCAAAAGGGATTCACCTCTGAGATTGCTTCCTCGCCATCTTTGTCGCCAGACGGTGGTTGTGGAGATCTCCGGCGGGGCGCCCGGCCCAGACCACGGCCTCCACGTCCGCGGAGAGTTCCCCCGAGTACACCCTGGTTGTCGGCATCACGTACGTTTGCTTGTCCCGAAGCATGGTACGGATAGTTAGACGTATGTCCCCAATCTCCGTGGCCAGATCTACAATCTGACGACCCATCATCTCGAGCCGGCGGCCAAACCACTCAGTCCGACAGTCTTGGTTGTACATGGCGGCAACACGCTTGTCGTTTGCAGCATCTTGTCTTCGCGACAACATCGTGAATCGTGCTGACTTCTGATACCAACTGATGTAGGGAAGCGTATGAGTGGGAAAGATAAACGAGATAATCTCTCGATAAAACTGATGTAGGGAAGCGTACGGGTGAGAAAGATAAACGAGATACTCTCTCGATAAAACTCACACTTAATTCATTTTTCCATTCAATAATCAACCACTGGATAACAAAAAAGATGGGTCTTTAAATAAGACACCCAAAACCCTGAAAGCTATCTTGTCCATCAAGTCACTAATATTTAAATACTAAAATAATAATAATAGTAATAATAATAAACTATCCACCCTCCAGGTAATAATTCAGGAGCGTAAATATTATGTATCAAGAAATAAACAATAAGGACCTAAGTTTTAAACATTTTTTTAATTTTTTTTAGTAATTGGAATAATAGTTATTTTTTGAAGTTGATGTCTCGGGGAGCAAAACCGAACCCAAATTGAAAATTTGGGTTGAATCATACAATTCGATGCAGTTCAATAAGTTATTCTAGTGTAAATACTTAACGGTTTGATTTATGTTACTTATATTATGTGTTGCAGTGTAGTTTGGTTGTTTTTCTAAAACATTCTTTTTTTTTTTTTTCNTACATATTAACCATAAAATTGAATAATGCAACACACGCACATACACACACAAACACACACACACACACACACACACACAAACACATATATATATATAAACATACAGCGTTGCGTTCAAACTAGGGACGGTACCGTAATTAACCCAATTCAAGTGTGAACGCAACGCTGTATGTTCAGTACCTCGTCCTGCTTGGTATACAGGACGAGGTACTGAACATACATCGTCGCGTTCACACTAGGGACGGTACCGTAATTAATAAATTCTAGCAGTGTGAACGCGTCCCTAGTGTGAACGTACATCGTCGCGTTCACACTTGAATTGATTAATTACGGTACCGTCCCTAGTGTGAACTTGAATTGATTAATTACGATATCGTCCCTAGTGTGAACATATAATATATACGGTTCTGATCCCCTACCCACCGTGGGTAAGTTTTAATATGCCCACAACACCTCAACAAGGTAAGTAAATCTTAATTAATAATCTTTTATTTCTACTACATCCATACTTTTCCACTTTATTTCCTTTTCAACCCATACCAATTCTCTTCCAAATTGATCAATCAAATAAACAATTAACAATACGTAGCAACAGACTAAATAAAAATGCAATACAGAGAAATGATACAAACAAAACTAACATGCTCGGAAAAAATACAAACACATCTTGATGGGTCTACTCTCAGATCTGGAGTGAACCTGTGGTAAGGAGCTCAGATCTGTTTGAATCGCCTTCGAACCGTTGCTAGACCGCGATAATACCTGCAAAAACTCAACGTCGGAGGTGTTTCCGGCGTAGAGCCTCCGACGCTCAAGTCAATATGTGAGAGATGAAGAGAGGCTGCGCAACAGCTATGAGGGAGAGTGGAGAATGAATGAGTGTTAGGGTTTAGGGTTACCTCACCTCCTTTATATAGGAGGAGATACTTACTCGAAGTCCCCAAAATACCCCGGCTGACTTACGTAAAGGGTCCAAAATGCCCCGGTCGGTTCGTCTCCTCTTGCTGCTGAGTCATCACAAGATTCCCCTTTATCCCTTGAAGGATGTAGAGCTTTAAGTATGCTGTAAGTGTGATGAGTCGTCATCACATTTTTGGTCTTCGAGGCATAAAGAGTCGGCCTCGAGAGCTAGGAGGTCAACTCATGATCATATGAGGATTCGGAGGCTACACTTGGTTAGTTCTCTTGAGTGGGAGTCGGCTTTAGAGAATCTGTAATATCCCATTCAGTAATTAATAAAAGTAATTATTCTAAGTATGAACTAATTACTTTTATTAATGCTCGTTCCTAGTTCCGAGCCAGTTATTAAGTTATTCAGTTAAAAATTTGACTTTAAGTCGAAAGTATTCTCGGTTAAATATTATTCAGTAATCGAGCCAGTTCAGTAATTAATTAATTCCGGTCTGTTTATTTTTATAAATGGATTTATAAGACGGGATTAATTAATATAAGATGACGAATAATCGAAATTGAGTATATTTTGATTAATCGTTTAAGATAAGTAGTGAACTGAACCCAAGTATGTTCGGTCATGAGTTGAACTTAATTAAGAAATAGCCGAGCCTTAGTACTAAATACTTAAAATTTTTTTAAGTGTTTAAGTCATCAAGATAAGATCATAATATTGAGCCCTAGCATAAGTTGATACAAGTTAAGTCTCGAAGTGCGGTTAAGTATCGGTTAAGTATCCATGAACATTTAAGTGATAAATGTTCAAAGAAAAAAAATTTATTTAGACATTATAGTCTATTTAAATTATTTTAAGAGAAACCGAAATTTTTAGAATTTTCTGTTTTACGGTAATCGTTCGGTTTAAGTCCGAATGTGGTTCCGTAAATGTAGAATATTTCAAGATAATTATATTAGATCCTAAGAAGCAATATGTTCATTAAATTGAAGAAAAACTGTGAGTAAAGAATTTAAATTTTAGAATTTTCAGTTTTACGGTAAACGTTCGTTTTAAGTCCGAATTGAGTTTCGTAAATTGTATTATTCTCGGTTTATCAGCATGATCCAAGACCATATATGAGCATTACTTTTCAGTAAAAGAGTTTTAAAAATCAGCCATTTTGAAAGAAAATGCATAAGTAATAAAAAAGGATGATTTTTATTATTTTTATTATTTTGTTCCAAAGATTTTTATATGATGGATGGTGATATTATTTTCAATAATATATGGAATCAATTACATCACATTAAGCACGAAATTTTGGTCATCAATTGGTGAGAATGAGATGAGAAATCACAACAAAGTTTTGCTAAGTCTTTAAGTTAGCATTTTTTTTCAACAATTGGTGAGAATTTTATTAAACTTGGTGGAATAAGTTTTATCTACCAAAAATCTCATTCATGGCTACAACTAGAGGCCATTTTCGATGATTAATTATGTTGGAATAAGAATACAAGTTAATTATAAAATAGTTTATGATTAATTAAGTTTATAAGTTTAAATTGTTTATTTTGCTAATTTATGCCTATAAATAGAGGCCTAAAAATTAGAGTTCTTACACCAAAGTTAAGTACCAAAAGTTATATAAGAGTGTAAGAGAGAATAAGTAGTAGAAACTTTGGAGAAGTGAAGAATTTGAAGTAAAGAATCAAGTTTTACTCTTGCAAGAAGGAGGTAATTTACTTATCTTAAAAGTTACATGCTTAAGTTCATGTTTTGATAATGAGTTTACATGTTTAGTAGATGATATTAAGTGTTTAAAAATATTTTTATATGACTTAGATATTAAAGTTTTATATGAATATAAGCATGCTAGAAAATAAGTTATTTCCAGCTCATATATATGTCATATGTGTTCAGTTATGATGAGATTTTTACCTAGCTATGAAAAATATGGAAATATATACTTCTTATGGTTATTTCTTGTGTAAAAGAGGAGTACATAGGATCAAGAATCAAGTCATTTAGTTTAGTATAACTCAAGATATGAATTTTTAAAGTTTATCATGCAAGCTGAATTTTATGTACTTGTTTCCAGCAGCAAAATTAAACTTGAATAAGTCGAGATATATGCATGATAAAATTATGAAATTTTTATGACATGTCTAAATATGACTTAAGAATATGACTGTTAAATTTCATGATTTGAAGATGAGAAATGAATAAGTTATGATAATTACAAGGCATATATGTAAAGATGAGTATATATGCAAGAATATTCATGATATGATCAAGTTATTAAAGTGAGATTATTATGATCAATTCTCATATAAGTGATGAGCAATTTGGCAAAGTTTTAGTTTAATATGTTGAGTAAATAATCTTATAAAGATTGTATTAAGTATGACATATTAATATCATGATTAAATATTATGATTAAAAGTTGAAGTAGGACTTGAGTTTATTTTCACTTTCAAGTTAATTAAGTGAAAATTTAATATAAGCTAATATTTAAAATTTGGGAGATATGATGTATGATGAATTAAGTATTTGATTGAGTAAAAGATCAAGATGAGTTTATAAATCATGTTGATGATGTTGGAAAAAGTTAAGCATGTTTTGAGTTTAAGTACTCAATCAAGTTTAATGTGAAATTTAGTTATTTTCACATTCGAGTTATTTAAG